ATTTATTATTATCATTATTATTATTATTAATATTAATAATAATATTATTATTATTATTTGTCTTTTCTAAAAGACCTAACAGAAGCTTAATTAATTGTTTCACTAAAATTTCGAAAACAATCGCCCAGTCCAAAATTGCTTTTCAACGAGCCAGTACTCATTCACTGTTCCCGTGAATTTTTTCATTGTTCATTTTAAATTTGCGACTACTTTTCATCTTTGCTAGATGTTTTAAAGTGGAAAGGTGTAATAATGACAATTTCTTGTATCATAGATATTTTCTACAGGTAGCTTATAACGCTACTACAATTAACGGAACACAAAACGGAATGCCTCAGTGCAAGAATCTATTTTATTTCTAAACATTGTTACTGTAGGCTCCCTGTGATAAGTTAATGAGTTAGGGAGGGAGGGAGAAACATATGCATACTCCCCTACATATCCCTCATTTGCATAGACCCCGAGTTAAAAAAAAAGTCTGGTATGAATAATATAAATGTGAATATTAATATGAATTARCACGCTTTTTTATGTTTTGACTTACTTTAGGGATAGAAGGTGGAAGTTCACATTGTGTAAGTAAACGGGTTTGGACGAAGACGAACCGCTGGGTATACCTATTCCAAACCTTGTCGTTATATAGACAATATGATAGCGAATACGTAAAATCAATTTTTCAAAATAGCAGCTAGTCTTTTGAATATTGCATTAACTCTCGTATAATTCAAAATCACATTTAATACTGCGATTCTCAGTCACACACGAGCATCTTTATCTAGACCTTTATCGCAATCAAAACATTGAGTTTAGATGGACATCAATCAAAAGGGTTTTTAAAAAATGTCTGATCGTTTCCGACTCCGAATCTCAAACGCTTGAAGAAAGACACTCGAATCATAGTCAATACCAATAGCCTTGCAGTCAAGAGTTTAAAATTAGGTGGCGGAATCCTGTGACATTTTTGAAAAAATATATCCAGAGCAAGAAATTCACAGCGACAAAGGCAACGAACAGTATTTGCATGTTCACACTTGCGTGTGTTATTTCAAGTGAGTATTGGCGTAGGTCCTGGTGTAGAAACCAATAGAAACGATAGAACCTTTTTTTGATTGACGTCTACCAAAATACAATTCGTCTTATTGTTCGCGTGTGACTGGGAATTGGTGAAAACCAACACGGTTTCTTTAATATTTAGTTGTTTAGCTTTCTTACCGCTTTTTTTCCTTTGCTACGCACTCATCGATTCAACAGTCACGACAAGAAAATTGGGCAATACGCTTGCGTCAATCAAATAAATTGGTCGGTACCTTTATATTCTCTGATTGGCGGCAGTGTATTGCCCTATTTCCCTGTTTCGACTGTTGTCTATATCAGCGCGTAGCAGTGAAAAAAGTGCTAATTCAGAAAGACAAACCTCTTTGAGGAATGTATACTTATATTTTATTCAGGTAATGCATGCATAAGAAAGGTACTTTATGTGATTCCTTTTTACTCTTTAAATTACTAATAAATAGATTGAAACTTTTACTGAAATTAAAAGTTTTTYTTCCACCAAACAGAAGAAAACCCAATAAATGGACAAAACCCCAAAAACTTCAAAACAAGTTATAACAAAGGCACGATATAACCCGCGCTCTTATTGGTTATTTGGCGTGCGCTAGCTCAATRGACTTAAAACTGGTGTGATTGAGAAACATTTGATTCATGGATCGAAAGTTTTGCTAAACAATGCTTTGCCACAAGGCTAATATGCACAAATGTTAAAAAATAAAAAAATAAAAAAATAAAATATAATGTATAACCAGAATGATTAAGGTAATATATGAAACACGTGAAAAGAAGTGAGTTCMGAAAAAACGAGGCAGTGCTTGATATGGCTTCTCAAACCTATAAATAATTCTTAAAGTAATTCAAAGAATAATTTACCAAAAATTTAAGCTAATTTAAATCATAATTGTCAAACCTCCTTTTTGTAACCAAGCATACATGACTAAACTCAGAACCTGTTAGCATTGAGCCCTTGCATATCTGCAATGCGGCGTCCTTCAAAAATATAAAAAAACATATATAAATATAAAGAGACTGCAGGCAAAACTTCGCATTTGGCAAAGTAAGTCAAAGAGTTTTTACATTTCCGCATTTAAACTATTAAATTCACGAGCAAAGAGTAAGAGGTATAATATCTTCACATGTGCCTGTAATATATAAATTTAGTACTGCCTCAAAGCGGAGCTCCCTTTTTTTTTTTTTTGACACAGGGGCTAGGGTGAAATAAAATAATATATATCAAAGGAAACAGGTCTATTGGTTATGATCGAAGCCAAACTAAAGAAATGCTTTTAACAGAGTAATTTGCATTAATTGCTCGCTAGAAAAGGCCCACCCGCTCTTATGTATGGTGGCCCATTGTTATCATCCATTTTTTACCCAATATTTTTCATTTTTATTTCAATTTTCATTT